TAAACAAAGTTCAATAAAGTAATTCTTAAAAAAAAAAAAAAAAAAAACTAAATTGGCGGGCTAGCAGGTGGTAGAGTAGTTAAGGTGCTAGACTCCCACAAGGCCAACATGGATTTGAGAACCAGACTCAGTAGCTTAACAATCACACCAGGCACATGTGCGTGCATACCCCAAATCCCAGGAAAAGGCATGAGGATACCCTTGAGGGATGATTTCTCACTTTCCGTCTCATTGTCTGTCTCTGTCTCTCTTTAGCGAGCACACATGCCTTCTGGCAAAAAAAACTTTTTTAAAAAATAGAATACTTAAATTGGTACAGATGCAGTAAAATGACTTGATATACATCAGGGACACATAGGGATTCTTTTCTATTTCCATTTCCCAGATATTGGAAATACTGCAATTATCTAAAGAAAGGATGAAAAAGCAAAGGAAGGTTTGGGGAGAAAAGTTTTAAAAATAGCCATCTATGTGCCTAGGATGGACCTGGAAACCATCATATGACTATAGCAGCGTTCCATGACCTCTCAAGGTGAGAAACCTGCCGTTATCTTCTGGGCTAGACAGAGCTGTTGTTATTACCCTCTTCCCTAAATCATTTGTAAAGGGAGCAGAGAGTAAAATTTTACTCCACAGAGCTGTGATTCCTAGGAATTGATGATATTATTCTTTGTTTGCTTCTCAGGAAAGTGTCTGTTCAAATTTAACTTTTTTATTTCTGTCTGCCTTGTTCAGTTTACCACAATATTTTAAATAAAAATATTATTTAAGATGTGACATGATAAAACTGAGAATGAAGATGAAACAGCAAAAATAAAAATGCCATATACCAGAGGAAAGAAGCCAAGAAAAGGGTGAAGGCACTCGGAAAAAAGGGAACCAAATCTATGTCTCATCTTATTTCTAATGCCTAGTGAAACATCTGCTAATCAGCACTACAGGAACATATATTAAGCAAATAAATGAACGTAAACGTAACTGATGAAACCTAACACAAAAATGACAAAAAATTGGGATCAGCAGTTAGCGTAATGGCTATGTCGCTGGACTCCCATGCAGTCGACCGCGGTTCGCGTCCCAGAACCAGTGGCTTGAAACTCACACTGGCCGCGTATGCATGCATGCAGTCGACCGCGGTTCGCGTATGGAGAAGGGATTGTGGCGTAGCCATCCCCCCTGGGGAGTGATTTCTCGCTTTCTGTCTCTCTGTCTCTCTCTGTCTGTCTGGCGAGTGCACGCGCCCTATGGCTAAAACCTCTCAAAAAAAAAAAAAAAAGAAAGACAAAAAATAAAGATTCTGATAAAAAAAAAACTGAAAGTAGGATAGAAAAGCTGGACAGTAAAAGCTTGAGAATGGTTTAAGTTCACTGAAAGATATGAGTCAGTGGGAAAAGAGTCCAAAGTGGTATTATATCAAGAGTCTGTTCTTGAAAAATACTGAGTATCACTCTCATCCAGGCTTTGAAATCAAAGATTAGGTCACATAAGAGAGAAACAAAATGTGAAATTTTTCAACTACATTAAATGAATGTGAATTGAATCTTGTACATATTTCTTTTCAAAGTAAGTTTAACGGTACTAAGAAGGATAACATATTGATTTAAGATTAACTTCTTTATTAATGGTTTGATCATGTACTTTTTTTTTTTTTATCTAGAATTTTCTAGACAAAGAATTCTTTGAATTTTCGCTGTTCTTAGGATAATGTCTAAGCCCCTAAGTTTGAGCCACACTGGTCTTATGATTGGATTTTTCTGACGTGTTTAGTTTTACCTCTTGTCACTCTTGCGCCCATATTCCAAATCTCAGACATCTTTCAGCTACCTCCAGTTCCTTGAATATAACTTATTTCTTTCAGTCCCTGTTGCTTCCTCTGCCAAATATGTTCTGGGGCCAACCAGTAGTGTGGCAGTAAGGGCAATGGATTTTCACATGGCCATCTAAGTCCTGGACCTGGTGGCTTGAAAAACATGCTGGATGCATTCATGTGCCCAAAATCCCAAGAGGAGAATGGAGGACAAGGGATTGCAGAGTGGCCATTGCCCCTCCCCATGCCCCTCCTTCCCCCAGGGAGGGTGCTTTCTCACTTTCCTTCTGTGTATTTCTGTCTCCGTCTCTTTTTCTCTGGCAAGCACATGCACCCTATATCAGATGCTAAAACAAAATGAAATACTGTTCTTCTATTACCCAGATAATACATACTTAAACTTCATGCCTCATTTTATACATAATTTTCTCTGGAAGACTCTCCAGCTTATGTACTATTCTAGTGGGCTGCACATTTTGTTATTTATCTCTTATCACACTGTACTACAACACAATTGTCTAATTACTTGACTGTAGTCTCTAAATGTTTACAATTCCTCAAAGGCAGGTATCATAATTTTCCTTATATTTCAGATTTTGAGTACACAGGACTTGTATTTGATGCACAGGAGACACTAAGAAAATAATGGGTCATAAGGAAAGTCATAATGCATTTTTGCATAGAAAAATACATCATGGGACCAGCAATTAGCGTAATGGCTATGTCACTGGACTCTCACGTAGTTGACTGCAATTCGAATCCTGGACCCGGTGGCTTAAACTCACACCGGGAGTGTGTATGCATGCCCAAGATTCCGAGAGGAGAATGGAGGAGAAGGGATTACACTGTGGCAATCACCTGGGGGGGGGAAGTGATTTCTTGCTTTCTATCTCTCTGTCTCTCTGTCTCTCTCTGTCGTTCTAGTGAGCGCATGTGCCCTATAGCAAAAAATCTCCCCCCCCAAAAAAAGAAAAACACATCATGACTTTCCCAACGACTTAATATTACCCTGTTGAATAAAGTTCTGTATACCTAGAATTAACTCAACAAATCAAAAACCACCATTGCTGCCTTTTCTAAAACTAAACACCCATTGCTATTGGACAGATGTGCTACACCTTAGCAATAAGAAAGAATTATATGACCTCATACAAACACTAATTTAGTATGAAATGTGAGGAAAATTAAAAATTACAAAGAAATAGGTATAAAGGCATTCATGTATACAAGATAAATGAAAATTACTATTTGTTTCTCTTCATATTTTTTTCAAACTGTAACAAATGCATTAAGAACAACATGGCATTGGATGGTAAATATTTTACCTTGCTCTGTATCAGTATTTCTTCCAATTTCTGATAGGTAGCAGTTTGGCAAAGGATATGATGAAAACATTGGCCAAGGATATGGATCATCGCCCTAAAATAGAAGCAAGACAGATGACTTTAAAAAGTGGTTTGAAATAATATTGAGTTTTAAAGGCTTCTGAAATAGAATTAATTTAAACTGCCTTTTTGGTTATAAATTTTAGGACTGTTACCCAACTAGCCAAAATCTATTAGTTATCACAATTCAATATTCTCCTATATAATAACTAAAATGGAGAATTAACAGGAAAATCATTAAATAATCACTGAAAATAGACAAATGGTAAGTTGTTTTAGCAACTAGAACTGATAATGAGGGTTTCACTATTTTCTTCCATGAAAGGAAAATTGTAATCTTCAATAAAGGCTATATATTTTTTTCCTTTAAAAAAACTGTTTTCTTATGCTGTCAATCTTCACGGAGTGACAGTCAAAGCAACAATGTTACTAATAACAAAACCAAAAAAATACCTCCATGAGAAATCCACACTGCAAACACTGATGGTAGAAGACATACTAAATATTGTCAATCAAATACAAAAAGGATATAGAACATTCTTTTATCTAATGATAAAAATTAGGTATAAAACAAAAGAGAAATACATTGAAAGTAAAATATTTGAAGAAACAGAGAAAAAAAGACAACTTTTTAATAAAATAATGCTGTACTCTGCTACACAGACTAACTCGCGACCTCTTGCCATCAAGAATAATTTTTGTTTGAAAGCCTTATTTGCATCCTAAAGTATATTCAAGTAACAGAAGCTCTACTCCGTGAAGTTAAACATTTGGGAGCTGATGTTTAGTGTCACCCCAGTTGACTACTTTGCTTCAAAATAAGTCAGAATAACATTTTTCCCTCCTCCTCATCCCAACTCACCTTTTCTAGTGTCCGTGGAGGCAAAATCCGTTCCAATGGCCCACCAATAATATTTACTCTAACAAGAACATGATTTCTTTCTACTGATAAACCATCAATTATAAAGTTCCTAAAAAATAAATATATCAATTTAATATCTCCTGAATTAATGTTATTTAACTTTGAAAACAACTCATAGGATTGTAAAGAAAAAAAAGCAGAACAATCTGGAAAACATAACTTATTAGCACATTGTGAAATATGAAGGGCTATATTCACTTTATATCTTTCAGATTTCTTTGCTAGAGAGTAAACAATTGGTGGAGATATAGTTGATAAAATGAGATTATTCCATGTAGTCAACCGTGGTTCAAGTCCTGGTCCTGGTGGCTTAAACTCATGCCGGGCGCATGTGTGTGCCCAAGATCCCAAGAGGAGAGTGGAGAAGAAAGAATTGCGGCATGGCCATACTCACTGGGTGATTTCTTGCTTTGTCTCTCTGTCTCTCTCTGTCCTTCTGGTGAGTGCACGTGCCCTATGGCAAAAACCTCTCACCCAAAAGACTACTTTCTGTACAAATGTTACTTCATTTAAAGAAATGGAATTAAGACATGCATTATTTCTATGATGACTTTAACAATCATACTTTATTCAAAGTTCTCTTACATTCCAGACCCAGTTTCTTAAATTCAACATCTAAATATCATTGCTGCCTTTTCTAAAACTAAACACCCATTGCTATTGGACAGATGTGCTACACCTTAGCAATAAGAAAGAATTATATGACCTCATACAAACACTAATTTAGTATGAAATGTGAGGAAAATTAAAAATTACAAAGAAATAGGTATAAAGGCATTCATGTATACAAGATAAATGAAAATTACTATTTGTTTCTCTTCATATTTTTTTCAAACTGTAACAAATGCATTAAGAACAACATGGCATTGGATGGTAAATATTTTACCTTGCTCTGTATCAGTATTTCTTCCAATTTCTGATAGGTAGCAGTTTGGCAAAGGATATGATGAAAACATTGGCCAAGGATATGGATCATCGCCCTAAAATAGAAGCAAGACAGATGACTTTAAAAAGTGGTTTGAAATAATATTGAGTTTTAAAGGCTTCTGAAATAGAATTAATTTAAACTGCCTTTTTGGTTATAAATTTTAGGACTGTTACCCAACTAGCCAAAATCTATTAGTTATCACAATTCAATATTCTCCTATATAATAACTAAAATGGAGAATTAACAGGAAAATCATTAAATAATCACTGAAAATAGACAAATGGTAAGTTGTTTTAGCAACTAGAACTGATAATGAGGGTTTCACTATTTTCTTCCATGAAAGGAAAATTGTAATCTTCAATAAAGGCTATATATTTTTTTCCTTTAAAAAAACTGTTTTCTTATGCTGTCAATCTTCACGGAGTGACAGTCAAAGCAACAATGTTACTAATAACAAAACCAAAAAAATACCTCCATGAGAAATCCACACTGCAAACACTGATGGTAGAAGACATACTAAATATTGTCAATCAAATACAAAAAGGATATAGAACATTCTTTTATCTAATGATAAAAATTAGGTATAAAACAAAAGAGAAATACATTGAAAGTAAAATATTTGAAGAAACAGAGAAAAAAAGACAACTTTTTAATAAAATAATGCTGTACTCTGCTACACAGACTAACTCGCGACCTCTTGCCATCAAGAATAATTTTTGTTTGAAAGCCTTATTTGCATCCTAAAGTATATTCAAGTAACAGAAGCTCTACTCCGTGAAGTTAAACATTTGGGAGCTGATGTTTAGTGTCACCCCAGTTGACTACTTTGCTTCAAAATAAGTCAGAATAACATTTTTCCCTCCTCCTCATCCCAACTCACCTTTTCTAGTGTCCGTGGAGGCAAAATCCGTTCCAATGGCCCACCAATAATATTTACTCTAACAAGAACATGATTTCTTTCTACTGATAAACCATCAATTATAAAGTTCCTAAAAAATAAATATATCAATTTAATATCTCCTGAATTAATGTTATTTAACTTTGAAAACAACTCATAGGATTGTAAAGAAAAAAAAGCAGAACAATCTGGAAAACATAACTTATTAGCACATTGTGAAATATGAAGGGCTATATTCACTTTATATCTTTCAGATTTCTTTGCTAGAGAGTAAACAATTGGTGGAGATATAGTTGATAAAATGAGATTATTCCATGTAGTCAACCGTGGTTCAAGTCCTGGTCCTGGTGGCTTAAACTCATGCCGGGCGCATGTGTGTGCCCAAGATCCCAAGAGGAGAGTGGAGAAGAAAGAATTGCGGCATGGCCATAACTGGGGGTTGATTTCTTGCTTTGTCTCTCTGTCTCTCTCTGTCCTTCTGGTGAGTGCACGTGCCCTATGGCAAAAACCTCTCACCCAAAAGACTACTTTCTGTACAAATGTTACTTCATTTAAAGAAATGGAATTAAGACATGCATTATTTCTATGATGACTTTAACAATCATACTTTATTCAAAGTTCTCTTACATTCCAGACCCAGTTTCTTAAATTCAACATCTAAATATTCATTAAGAGTAGCCTCAACATTTGCTGCAGCCATAGGTCTTTTCTTTCTACATCAAACCTATGGTATCAAGTAAAATACTATATAATTTTCCAAGATATGGCTAGGTTGGAGGCACACTTTAAAAAAAATTATAGACATGAAAGCAATGCCAACTACTGAATGTATATTCAATAAATATCAGCCAAATTAAGGTAATGGCAAGTATGATTTAATTAGTAGAAAAAATTATTAAGAGATTACCAGGATCTTATTTTGCTAATAATCAGAATTTATGACTATGAACTTACATAATTAAGAAAATGGAATGAAGAATGCCTCCACAAGAAACACAAAATTAAATGTGTTGTTCAAAGGGTCATCTTACAAATGCAGTCTGAACTTAGAGGTGATAAAATATCTTATAATTATCAATAAAGTTAGGGCCCATCTAAAAATAAATCCTAAATAATAAAAAAGTAACAAATTTCGAAAGTAGTACTCTACAAATCCTCTCCAAAAATACTGAATTTTCTATGACATTTATACTTTAATTGCTTCTTACTGTTTTTTAAATCTATTGTCATTGACCTACTAATTCAGAAGGTAAAAAATGCATGCCATGTTTAGTATTCTCAACTGGGCTGGACTGGGGTGTATATCATACTGGGTAAAGTCTCTTTACAATCTAAATGACGTATAGTGTTTGTATAAATAATAAGAAGAATTTTTAAAAATCAATAAACTACAGAAAATTACTTTCTTAACAAAACATCTATAAACAACACTTGTTATTGGGACCCGTAGTTAGCATAATGGCTATGTTGCTGGACTCCCACGTAGTTGACCGTGGTTCGAGTCACGGACCTGGTGGCTTAAACTCACACCGGGCGTGTGTGCGTGTGTGCCCAAGATCCCGAGAGGAGAATGGAGGAGAAGGAATTGCGGCATGGCCATCCCCTCTGGGGGGGTGATTTCTTGCTTTCTATCTCTCTGTCTCTGTCTGTCTGGCGAACGCACATGCTCTATAGCAAAAACCCTCTCAAAAAAAAAAAAAAAAGAATACTTGTTATTATGTTTTAATGCCCCATTTTTTCCTTACCTGTGGCCCTCAGGGGTCTCTAATATATTTTCTTCTTGAGCATTTAGCAACATTTCAGATACATGATACTGAGCTTCTAATAGGAGAAGAGTATCCAGATCACAACATATCACACTTAGTAACCTATAGAAAGAAAAAATAAAAATATATTTTGTAAAATAGGTCCAAAAAGCATAGAACATATTCTTTTATCTTTTCTTTTTTTTTTTTTCTTTTTTGCTACAGGACACGTGCGCTCATCAGAAAGAGACAGAGAGACAGAAAGCGAGAAAACACTCCCCAGGGTGGATGACCATGCCTCAATTCCTTCTCCTCCATTCTTCTCTCAGGATCTTGGGCACACACGCACACACTCCTGGTATGAGTTTAAGCCACAGAGTCCAGGACTTGAACCACAATTGACTATGTGGGAATCCAGTGACATAGCCACTATGCCAACTGCTAGTTCTCATTTTTTTTTAAGAATTATTTTTTATTCAACTTTATTTATCTATTATTTATCTTAATTTGACCAGAGAGAACAGAGTGAGAGAAAGAGAGAAAGCAGCAGGGTTCAGGACTTGAACTGTGGTCAGCCATGTGGAAGTCCAGCGGCATAGAAATATTTTTTAAAAATAATTATTTATTATTAATTATTTTATTTTATTTATTCATTCATTTATTTTTTAACTTGACCAGAGAGAGACAGAGGGTGAGAGTGTGAGAGAGAGGAAGTGAGAAAGCAAGCCACCAGATTCAGGACTCAAACCCTAGTCAGCCATGTGGGAGTGTCCAGTGCCTTAACCACCACGCCACCTGCTGATCCCTATAGAAATATTCTTAATGTCTCAAATACTTGTGCAAGGAAATACAAACCCTATCTGAGAGGCTAGTTATTTCAGATATATTTTTAATCATTTAAAATAGTAATATCCTCTTCCAAAATTGTTCTTACTGAGGTATTTTTTGAAAACCATGGGAAATTTCTAATCTAGATGTTTCAAAATTTATGTACACCTGGCTACCTCTGTGGCATAGCAGTAATGCACTGCTCAAGAGGAGCTATACCATATGGTGACTGAGCCTCAAATCCCCAACCTGGCTGACCAGAAACATGCCTAGCATGCGCAGAAGTGCCCCAGATCTGATAGGCTAGAAGAATAGAAGAAGGGGATCACAGCATGACCAGAGCTTATGGAGGGTGCTGCTGATCTCTCTCAAGAAAGTGAAAGAGAGGAAGAGAAAAATGCTCTATCATGAATAAAGAAAAAAAGTTTGATTTGTCTAAATTTACATGAATAGTATATTTTCTTTTCAACTGCTAAAAGTTGTTAAAACTCAAAATTCATCAGTGCAGTTCAAGTCATGGATCTGGTAGCTTGCTTTCTTACTTTCCTTCTCTTTCTCTCTGTCTCTGTCTCTCAGGTGAGCACATGTTCCCTACAGCAAATTAAAGTATAGTAATATTAATTAAATAATTATTTTAGAAAGTTCATCAGAGAACATTACTGAACCTATTAAAATGGCAAATAGTCTTAATTTTCATTACTTAGTTGCTGAAGGAATGATAGCATATTTTGCTACCAATTTATAAACTGTCCATTAGGAAAACATCAATGGCTAACTTTATAACTGTCAGATCAAGCTGAGAACATCTAAATAGAATGATCTATTTTACCATTATTGAAAGAGATAAGCAGAAATCACATGTCCCCTCTTGTGACACAAGAGGACTCAGGCCACACCACCTATGAAGGATTCTGCCCAAGAAAACTGACCCTGAATTTATTCAGTCCTAGATATTTCAGTATCAGTTTACAAGAAATATAGGATTAGAGAAATACATTTAAAAATACCACAAGTTGGGACCATCAGTGAGTGTAATGGCTATGTTGCTGGACTCCCATGCAGTCAACCACAGTTCGAGTCCCGGACCCAATGGCTTAAACTCATGCTGGTCGCGTGTGCGTGTGTGCCCAAGATCCCAAGAGGAAAAAGGAGAAAGGATTGTGGCATGGCCATACCCCCTGGGGGGGATGATTTCTCACTTTCTGTCTCTCTCTCTGTCTTTCTGGCAAGCACATGTGCCCTATAGCAAAAACCTCTCAAAAAAAAATTATATATATATATTTGTGTGTGTGTGTGTGTGTGTGTGTGTAATTCTTCAGAGGAAAAGAAAGCCATGAAAAAAACAGGAGGAAAAGGGGAACTGTTATAAAAAAATGTATGTTGGGGGAAAGAGATGAAAGAAAACTGACAAAACACTAATAAAATAGACCAACATGAGTAATGGGTACATGGAAAACTTATTATAATATTCAATATTTTTTGGTTTATATATTTAAAGATTCTGTGATAGGAAAGTGTTTTAAAAATGATGTAATGTGAGTATGGGGTGACTACAGTAGAATGGGTGGTTATGTAAAATCTGTCTTGAGGGGGCATTTGAAGAAACAAGAAATCCAAGGGGAAAAAAAATCAACTTTCCAATTACACAGAGTGGCCGTAACTGTAATCCATAAACAAATCAGTTAATATCCATTCATAGCAAATCACTGAAATTTCTGAGGTATATTTTTTAAAAGTATACTATGCAGATCTTAGGACACAGATATAATCTGCAAATGTTAAAACATAGCAATATGTGTTTTGCTTAAAAAAAAAAGAAAGAAAAGAAAAATAAAAACTATTTCCAGGGTATATTATGTAAAAGAGAAGTGCCATAAAATATCATATATAGTGCTAGTACTATATAAAAATTAAACATTTGTCTGTACACATAGACACAGTCTCTCTCAAAGAACATAAAAGAAACTGGTAAGTATTATCAGCTCTGCAGGAGAGATCTGAGAGACAAGAAGGGAACTTTTTTCATTGCATATATATTTTTAATGGTTTTTGCATGTTTTACATATTTAAATGTATACACATAAAGAAAACTGGTTGGTGAACAGCTTTACAAGTTAAAAAAAAAGCAATTCAAAGTCAATCCCTAAAATATGGTGAAAAAAAATAGTCAAATGCATATAAAACTAAAAGAAAAATCCACTATCATAAATTTATAGAAATGTTCTCGACTCCCTTCACACAACTAAAACTATTTTTTTGACTAGTATACAGATGGAACCAAAATTTTAAAAATACTCAGAAATCTAGTTTGAGAACAGTAGCAAAAAGCTAGCATTCTCCTTTCTCATTTTAGGGATAACCCAAAAGCATGGAGAAGAATGGAAAGTAGACTTCATGGGAATTTTTAACCACAAAATGAGTTGATGTGCAGCCAAAGGCAGTAAAAATAGTACAAATGCTACTGGGGGTGGGGAGGAAAGAGATTGAGAAAAGATATAGCTTTCTGTGCTGTGGGGGAAAAATAGTAAATTTCTACTTAAAAAGAAAAATAAAACACATTTCTAAAAAGAACAAAATGAATTTCTAAAAATGAAGAGTATAACTTCTACATTGAAAATGAACATATAAGAAAGCAGCTTAAGGATCCTTGGCCCACTAAGGTTCCAAAAGAGAAAGAGTAAGGTGGAACATGAAGTCACAGGAATATCAATTAATAATTGTTCAGGTTATAGCAGGCAAAGAAGGGGAGCATGAAAGGACAGCGTGAAAGGGAGCATACACTCACAATTAGGGCCTGCAGAATTCTTCTAGCTAATCAGGATCATGTGCCTAACTTCTTTTAAATATAAGCTTCCTGTAAGTAACTGAAAACTGATCATTAAAAGACATACATCACTCCAAAATTAAATACCATACGAAGGATGCATAATATATTTTTAAAAAAAAAGAGGAGAAAAAAAGCTAGAACAGATGTCAAATATACATTTAAAAAGTAGCCATTAAAACCTTGAGAACTGGAACCAGCAGTTAGCGTAATGGCTATGTCGCTGGACTCCCATGTAGTTGACCACGGTTCACGTCCCGGAGCCGATGGCTTAAAACTCACGCCGGGCACGTGTGCATGCATGCCCAAGATCCCAAGAGGAGAATGAAGGAGAAGGGACTGCGGCATGGCCATGCCCCCTGGGGAGTGATTTCTCACTTTCTGTCTCTCTGTCTCTCTTTGTCTGGCGGGCGCATGCGCCCTATAGCAAAAACCTCTCAAAAAAAAAAAAAAAAAAAAACCTTGAGAACTAAGCCAGTTAGTGGTGCGGTTAAGGCATTAGATACCACATGGCTGACTCTGAGATTCAATACCTGGACCAGGTCGCTTGGGAAATGCGGTAAGCATATGTGTGCATTTCCAAAATCCTGAGAGTAAAATGGAGGAGAAAGGATGGTGGCATGCCCCTCATAAGGGACGATTTCTTTCTTGTTCTCTCTCCCTCTCTCTCCCACCTATGAGTACAAACACTGTATGGCAAAAATCTAAAACACAACAACAATAAACTTGAGAAATCTGACCAAGTAATTTTCAGTGAATAAAATTAAAATGGTTGAATAAAGCAATCATCTTTATGAAGCTCTGCACAAGTAGAGCTATAAGAACACAGAAAGAAATAACATAACAAGTGACAGAGCTAAAGAAAGACACAGAAAAATCAAACTATCATAGACTTTAAAGCACAATAGTAGGTGTTTAAAAAGAAGAACAAATTGTTAAAAATACTATAAGGGATTACACAGTACAGAATGAGAAGTACGTGAAAAGCCTAATGAAAATAAGTTTATTGATTTCTTGATGAGAAAATTGAAATAATCTAACAAGATGCCAGAGAGACACAAAGTGAGAAATCACCCCCCAAGGGAGACGGCTACCCAGCAATTCCTTCTCCTTCATTCTCCTCTCAGGATTTTGGACATACATACACACATGCCCAGCATGAGTTTAAAGCCACTAGGTCCAGGAACTGATCTGTGGTCAACTATGTGGGAGTCCAGCAATGTAACAGTTATACTATCTGCTGTCCCCATAACAGGATGCATCTTTAAAGACATTACTCAAAAAATTCTTCCTGGGTTATTACCATTGTGGAGTAGTGAAAATACACTGCTCAAGAGAAGGTGGATCCCACATGGAGACCATACTTTGAACCCTTGTGCAAGAATTCAGGATCCAATGGGCTAGAAGACTGGATAAAGAGAATCACAGCATGGCTAAATCCTGAAGAGGGTGCTCATCTCTCTATTTTTAC